AAGTTACAGTTCTGCCTAGGTTTGAGGGGAGGAGCCATCGACCCCTTTATGAATGGGAAAAAACAAACAAATTTGAGACCCTTCGTTTAAAATTGCCACATTTATGAAGACCTGCTGTGCAGACCAAAGTGGAGAATAAAATGGGAGTGTGATATGAACTTCCTTCCCTATATTTTTTAAATCTTTGATGAGACAACTAATTTCTGAAATTCTACTCTGAGCATAGGGTACTTCTTTTGATTCACACTGCTGGAAGAAGCTCTAGACAAAACACTAGAGACTTCCACCTGGGCTTTTTTGGCCATAGTGTCCTCATTCCATAGGTCAGGAAACCAATGTGAGGATTTTGCTGAATTTTTAGTTTAGCAATTCTGATAGGTAGTGGCATCTTTTTTGTGGTTTTAACATGCACCGCCATAATAGTTGATTATGTTGAACATCTTCCCCTATACTTACTCATCATCTGCATATCCTCTTCAGTGAAATGCCTCTCTCTATAGCTTTTGCCTGTTTTCTAATTGTATCATTAGGGTTTTATTTGCATATTTATTTTCTTGGTTTTACTGTTGAGTTTTTGGAGTTTCTAAAAAGGCAAATCGGCTTTTCTTGGCAACTACTGAAGTAATATATTCTTCTAAGAAATATATCTTGTTATGGCTTGTGTCTGGATGTTCCCCCAAAGCCTCATGCAGTCATAGGTGGAACTTATTCAGAGGTGGCTGGATCTAGAGTGTGTGATTGATTCATGGTGCAATGCTAGGATTAAAGAGACTGGGATTCAGGGTAGGTTATTACTAAATTAGTCCACTGATTGGTTTGACACCCATTTTAAGCCAGGTAGCCTAGATAAAATATAAAGAGGACAGGGCTGGCTCTGTAGCATAAATGCCTGCCTGGTAAGTGTGAGGTCATGAGTGTAATCCCTGGTACCAAAAATTAAATAAATAAACAAATAAATAAAGGACAGAAAGAAGCTACTGTTCCCAATTGCTAACCTTTGCTTTCTTCTACCTGCCATGAACTGTTGCTCCTCTGTGATGTTCCTCTGCTAAGCTACCATATCTTGGAGCTATGGCCGACTATGGACTGAAGCCTCTACAAATTGTGAGACAAATAATCCTTTCCTTACTTAACTTTGAAGATCAGGTATTTTGCCTCAGCAATATGAAAAGTAACTAACAGAATTTTAAGTATTTTATCTAAAAATTTCTAGCCAGGGATTTAGCTCAGAAGTATAAGTGCCTGCCTGGCAAGCACAAGGTCATGAGTTCAATCCCCAGTATTCCCCTCCCCCCAAAAAAAGAATTTCTAAGACAATTTCTATTAGCTATCATAATTTACCTATAAAGTAAATATTATAATAACATTTCTTTAGAGCTTCCTGAAACAGATGAAATTATTATGGTTGCTTACAGTGAAAACTTAAAAACAAATTTATAGAACTGTTGACCAGATTCATTGGCTTGATTCTGTTCAGTGAAAGAAAAATAAATGAGCCTTCTAATAGTTCATCGTTCAGAATCTGTTACTGTATAGCTTTTAAGGATTTTGAGTAAATTCCAGTGAAGAAATAAGATCGATCTGCTTCTGTAAAAATGATCATTAAAAATATCCATAAGAGACCTATCATTCAAATTATAAAAGGAAACCTCATCCACTTCAGAGTATATGATATGTCAATGATAATAGCCATTATTTTTGGCGATAATTTTCTTTTCTTTTCTTTTCGTTTTTTTTTTTTTTTTTTTTTTGTCTTTTTCCTTTTTTATTGGTACCGGGGATCGAACTCATGACTGCCTGCTTGCAAGGCAGGCGCTTATGCCACTGAACTAAATCCCCAGCCCCAGAAGATAATTTTCTTAAGACCTAATGCAATATAATAGTCTGATTATGTTATCCAATTCCCCATAATCCATCCTATCCTAAAATTGGTTGATTTTGATTTTTCCTTTTTGGAAGAGACATTCTTTATGCACACCCATTGTAGATTCAGATTTATCTTTTATATCTCTTATAATCCAGAATTGCTGACCAGGTATAAAATCTCCATTGGTTATGAGGTAATTTTTGCATATTTCAATATCACACAGTTTACTTTTCTTCTTCTTCTCCTTCTTCTTCTTCTTCTTCTTCTTCTTCTTCTTCTTCTGCTTCTGCTTCTGCTTCTGCTTCTGCTTCTGCTTCTGCTTCTGCTTCTGCTTCTGCTTCTGCTTCTGCTTCTTTTGATACAGGGTCTCACCATACAGTTCAAGCTGACCTTGAATTCACTTTGTAACCCAGATTGGTCTCAAATTTGCAGTGATCCTCCTGCCTCAGCCTCCTGAGTGCTGGGATTACAAGCATACGCTACCATGCCTAGCTGGCTTTTTTACCTTCTGAGACAATAAATTTGCAGTGTACTGTTTCAGAATCTAGAACTATATGTACTTGAAATTGCTTGATAATTTTGTATGGGCCAGAATATTGTGGAGGAAGTGGGTAACCATAATCTTTGAATTTAAATGAAAAGTGTGAGGATAATTAAAGCTTTTGTATCTGTGGTAAATACTCTTAGCCTTTGCCAGAAATTGTACTTCTGATTTTACTTGTTTGCTCTCTACATCCTCTAATAGATATTTTGATAAGGAAGCATGATCCGAAACGTTTATTATTATTTCATTTAGTATTGCTAAAATATCTACCATTTCATCTTGTAATTACCTATGTATAGTCTCTTGCTCATTTTACAGAAATAATATAAATTGTTCCATTTTGGACTTTATTTCTTCTCTCCTATGTGCTACCTTTTTCTTCAGTTCCAGTAATTTTCCAATGTGCATAGTAATCACTTTTTCAGCTGTCTGCTTGCATAGCTCAATGCAATGGTCTTGATTGTTTCTGATCATAGAGGAGCATTAAAACACCCTGATATTTAACCTAAAAGCTGCTATGTCTCATCTAGTTTGTAAATCCGCAATGTTACCTATGGCATTAACCCCCAACAGGCTCTGTGTGAGTTCCAACAGAAGAGATGGCTCAGCTGCTCAGACCCAAGACTGCATGGAAACTGCAGACACTGGCAGGGCAATGGCTGGACTTCTAAGACTTCTTTTTATATTCTTGACAAGTGTTGTGTTAGATATATAGATGTAGGTTGTTGTACGATACTCAATATATTTTGTTGATCATAAATTTTAATTTCAATGAAATTCATTTTATGAATTTTTCTTTTATAAGTCATACTTTTGGTGTCACGTATAATAATTCATCACTAGCTTCTATGCCCCAAACATTTCCTCGTGCTGTCTTCTAAAAGTTTGATAGCTTTATGTTTTATATTTCAATGAAGGATTCAATTTTGAGTTAATTATTTGTATGAATTGTGAGGCTTGGATTGAGTTTTTGTTTGATTTGTGCTTGTTTTTTTAGTCTATATAAATATCTAATTGTTCCAATATGGTTAGTTGAAAAAACTACCCTTCCTCCACTGAACTGCTTTTGCAAAAAGGAGTTGGAAAAATTTATGTGTGTCTCTTTCTGAGTTCTCAATGCCATTCCACTTAACTACATATCTGTCTCTGTGTTAATACCACACAATTTTGATTATTATCAGTTTATCAAAAGCTCTGACATTGTATAAAGACATAGCCTTGTATCCTACAATTTTGCAAAAATTCATTTATTAGTTATAGGGGTTATTTTTACAAATTCATTGAAGTGACGGATTAAGACAATGATGCAATCTGCAAGTTGAGTATATTTCTTTCTAATATATATGACTTTTATTTCTTTTTCTTATAATAGTGCATTGGTCAAAATGTCCACTACTATGTCAGATTAAGGGTGTGGAGAATGGATATCCTTACTCTGTTTCCAACCTTCATATGACAAGTGTCCATTTTATCACCATTAAGTATAATATTAGTCATAGGTCTTCTATAGATGTTCTACAGAAGTTCAAGTTGAGCAAGCTCTCTTTCCATTTGTGGTTTACTGAGAGTTTTTGTCATGAATGATTATCGGAGTCTGTCAAATTCTTGTATGCATGAAAAGTTATAATCATATCATCTTTTCTTTTGCCTGTCAATATAACAAATTGCTTTGATTGGTTTTCAAACACTGAATGAGCTTTACACCTCCAGAATAAAGTCTACTTGGCCACTGTTACAATTTATAAATGCATTTTAAATTCTATTTGCTAGTATTTTGCCAAAGGTTTTTATGTCTATATTTGCCCTGCATACTGGTGTGTAGTTTTCATTTCTCTTTTGAAAAGCTGTCTTTTCCTGGCTTGGCACCAGAGAAATACTGGCCTCACTGAATTAGTTAAGAAGTATTTGATTTGGACTTGTGAAGATAATGTCATGTGGCTTTAAATACGATAATAGTGGATATGATGTCAGGATTTTCTCATAAGATATAAGAAATAACATCATAAACAGCAACAAAGCCGAATGTCACACTTCAAAAGGAAATGAGATGGGTTTTACTTTCAGAGGAACACATTTCAGATGTGTATATTGGAAAAAGAGCTGCCCTGTTTGAAAGTATACCACGACACTCTAGGTTTTTTAAACTCACATTTATTCGATCAAGAGGTGGGTGGGACATGGCCTTCACATGTGTCTCCATGTCTGTCCAAGAGGCACAATTTCCTTTTCAGATTTGTCATGAAAGAAAATGTTCTATGTCACGTTCTATTTGAATTTCCCTTTTCCACTTTGCCTTTCATGACACAACTGAAAGAGAAAGTGTGCTGCAACAGTGATTTGCTTCCAAAAATCCTTTTAGGTATAAGATTCACATTGCTGAATGAACTGCCAAATTGAGCCCCACCCCACCTCCATCCCACCCCCCTTTCTCCTGTTGGCGGTGCTGGGGAAGGAACAGCGGGCCTTGAGCACGGTGGGCAAGTGAATGCCCTACGGGGAAGCGCCGTCCCTGTCTTAGTGAGCCTGTTTCAGATAAAGAACCACCAGGAAGCATCTCGTAATAGTGCCACGTGTGGGCAGGACCAATGAGGAGCCAGAGTCATTCGGAATAAAGTTTCGGGCAAAGAATTCTGACCAACCACAGTTGAGGACCTGGCTGGAAAGCGAGGAGAGAGCAGTGGAAGAAGGAAGATATAAATGCCGATTCTGGTCTCAGGCTTAGTCACAGGGATGAGCAATGTCCTTAGTGTGCTTCCCCCACTTTCTTCCTCTCTCCCTTTTCCTCGGTGGATGGAGTTTGCACAGATCCAGTGAAGTGCTTAGGACAGTAACTGGCAAAATGTCAATCTGGCACAGAGAAGTCCCAATAAAAGTTGGGTGCTTACTGGTATCATTATTGCTCCGTAGGGTGTTGTGCATACCGCCTGGCGCAATCCCTCTCAGAGTCATCGTTTCAAAGTTGAATGAAGGAGGCTGCAGCAGCAGTGCCCTAGAATGAGACTCTGTGGGCTAGCTTGGTCACGGAGACCTTGTGGTCGGCAGAGCTCAAGGCCAAACGCTGGTTCTTCGGGGGCGCCCCGCGCGCCAGTGCAGAGGAGCTGGCCGGTGGAAGCGGAGCCTCGCCTTTCTCACCCCTCTGGCTGGCTCCACGGCAGAGGCGTCAGGGCTTTTGATCTGGCGCTTTATGCCTTGTGGATGCGGCTTGCTGGGGACCGTTACAGAGGCGGCCGGTTACACGTCGCGCTCCCGGTGGTCCCAGGGGAACGGGCGGCAGCGCCGAAGGGCCGCCTCGACGTCGCGTCCAGGGCCGCGCGGGCCCGCCGCCGCCGCCCGCCTCCTCCCTGCCCCCTTCCCGGGGGTCGCGGCCGGGGCGGCGCCGGGCCCGCGGCGCTGGGCCCGCCCCGCCGCATCCCGGGCTCGACTTCCTCCTGCCGCGGGCGGGCGGCCGGCCCAGCCGGAGGAAGCGGCGGCGCGGCCACGATGAGCTCGGGCGACGCCGTGTGCACCGGCTGGCTCGTCAAGTCGCCCCCCGAGAGGAAGCTGCAGCGCTACGTAAGTAGGGGCGCCGGCGCCGCCCGGCCGCCGCCGGCAAGACCGGGTCGCACGTCGAGCTCGGGTCCCGGGACGCCCGGCCTCGCGCGGGGTTCGAGCGGAGGGCGGCGGGTTCGGGTCGCGGCCGGGCGGCCCGGGGGACCCCCGAAAGCACGCTGCTGCCCGGCGAGGCGATGGGGCGGGGGCCGGGCCGGGGCCGGGGCTGCGGACCGCGGGAGCCCCCGCCTTCCCGGGACCGTTAGGCGCCCGGCCGCTCTGCGGAAACTCCTCCCGGCGCCTCCGCGCCCCAACTCCGTTCCCAGCTTCTCCTTGCAGCGCTTTCTTCCTGCTGAAACCGCGTTTTTCTAGTCCAGCAGGAACCACTGACATTGAGGATTATGAAAGAAGGGACACTCAGAAGAACACGTCTTCCTGCACGCCTTGTTAGCAGTTTTCTAATGTGCTACCCACAGCTCAACCGGTCATTATCTCCCTGAGCCCACTCAGGACAAATCTTGAAATTGTTCTGCTTAAAGACCTAATGGCTAGCCATCAGCATTCCTCAGCCATTAGGAAGAACCACTTTGGCCCCCAGGGAGCTGCATATAAATAGATATCACGAAGGCTTGCTCTTGCTTTTATTTTTTTCAAGGCTAGGAGTAGCTTGATGGACCCTTGTTGTTTCTGATTCCCAATTGCTCTGCGACTCCAGCGCTCAGGGGGAACAAATCCAGCTCATCTGTGGCCATGCACCCCAAACGGCGGCTCCGCCTGCCTGCTGCTCATGTCTCCCTCTCACATCGCGGCCCCTGCTGTGACCAGGTTTAACCAGTACTTTTCGTTTCCACATTTCAGAATACACATAGTGGTAAAAGATGAAGAGTCAGAATTGTAAGACTTTCCTTTCATAGTGTGTGAACACTTGTAGAATTTGCAACGGAATCTTTTCCCGAACATGCACTTGCTCTGGATCCCTTTCCCCTTATCCCTAGGTGACACAGTGTCACACTCTTAAGTGCTCTGAAAAGGTTTTTTGTTTTTTGAACTGCCAAGCATTTTACAATGTTGTTGTACTTACTATGTAAGATATCAGACACGTAGAAATATGAACAATTCTCTTAGTAACTTCCAGCGCATCCTGTAAAGTGCTAAATACAAGGTCCTGCATCTCTACACCTGGGCAGCATCCCTAACACTGAGGAGAACTCATTGCCCCTCAGTGGAGGCAAGAAGAGAAAATACACTCCCATGCCCTGCACAGGCAGATATGGCCTTTGTTACAGAATGGTACTACCAATGCTGCAAATTCGCTGTGCGTTGTCAGACTGGCCTTCACATTCTAGTAGATGATTCAAAAAGATGGTGAACCCAGAGAACAATGCTTATTGAAACATTTTTCCCAGCCTTGGGTTTGTAACTTGTCCTGAGCATGCTAGCTTAGGAACATTCGTTAGTGTTTTGTCATTGGGAGAAGGGGCGGCTATGGAGACCTGTTGTAATATGTGAGTCAGTCACTCTTTATAGGTGGAAAGAGGCTGAAGCAAGAGCAGACAGCATGTAGCCTTGAGATATAGAATGTGTGATGCTATAGGAGACTGACACAAGAGAATCTTGATGTTACTTTACCAACATTTCATGACATAAACGTTGACATTTTGGCCTATGACTGGGAACGACTCTAAGAAAGATCATGGTCTTTTTGCTGTGAAGTGCCTATGCATGGAAAGAACTCAAAAAGAAGTCCATTTTCTCTCATCCCTAAGGACTACAGGAATCCTTTGTGCCACTAGGTGGCGATCGTGTGTCACTTCGACGGGGCCTGAGAGAGGCTGTTGTTCATAACTCTGTTAATGTAACTCTCCTTCCCAAGTAGTTTCCCCTTCCATCAATTTGAGTGTCACCTCTAACCAGGGCCCATATTTCTTGCCGGGAAGACAGAGAATAAAGACTCGATTCCACCCCTCAAGAAGTACAATTAACGCGTTTAACTAGTAGTGTAACAGAGCTAGTTTAGTGGAGCAACTTAGGACAATAACTGAGTTCTCAGTTGTTTGTGTTGGCAGAGGTCAGTGGGCCACACTCCATTGCAGTCTGTTTGTGGACAAAGCTTTTCTTCATGCACTTGATGCCATGAGGCAAGGCCATGAGAAAGTTATTTTATATTGCTGCACTTGTAAAAGATAATTCTTTTGCAATTTTGTAAAATATTTATTCTTATTGTAAAAATTTTAAAAATACAGGAATAAATAGAATTTGAAGTGAAAGACCCCTTCTCTTTCCCCTACACCCTCCCCTCCTCAGGGATAACAGCTGTTACATATCATTCTAGAAAAATTCCCAGAAAATACATATTTTTTCGCACAAATAGTATCCTATTATATGAATTGTCTTGCAGTTTGCTTTTTCCACAATCATCCTGGAGATCTTTCCAAATTAGTAAATGCAAAGGTTTTTTTTTTTGAGACAGGGTCTCACTATGCAGTTCAGACTGACCTTCAGCTCACTTTGTAGCCCATACTAGTCTTGAGCTCACAACAATCCTCCTACCTCAGCCTCCTGAGTGCTGGGATTACAGGCGTGAGCCACCACACCCAGTTCAAAATTGTTTTTTAATACTATTGTCTAATGTTTCCTGTAATGTATGCATTGTAATTCAATAATTTCTCTCTTGGTGAGCATTTGGCTTTTTTCCAATTGCTATAACAACAATGATTATTAAGTTATGAAATAGTTCACAATTTATTGAATGTACCAGATGTCATGCTAAAGATTTTGCTTCGATTCAAAACAACACTGAGAACTAGGTATTGTTTTTGTCACTGGATATAAGTTCTTGGTTGGATTATAGTTTTCTATCAGTCTATAAGTTTGCCTTTTCACTGTCTCTACAGTATCTTTTGTAGATACACATCTTTGTGAAATCCAAAATGCCATGTTTTGTCTTTTGTGGATTATGTTTTCAATGTCAAATCTAAGAAGTCTTCAGTCTAAGATTGTCAAGATTTTCTCCTGTTTTTTTTTCTTAAAAGTTTTATAATTTTACACTTTGTATTTAGATCTGTGGTCCGTTTTGATTTGATTTTGTAAAAGTTGTGAGGTTTACATCCTGGTTCATTTTATTCCACATAAACTCCGTCTGTTCTAATGCCATGTATTGAGTGAACTTCTTTACTCCTTTGATTTATTTTTGCAACCTTGTAAAACATCAGTTTGCCATATTTATGTAGGTGCATGTAGATTCTCTAGATTGTTCCACTGACCTGTTTGTTCATCTTTATGCCATTGCCACGCTTTTTGATGACCATAGGTTTATAATAATCTTGAAATCAAATTAAGTTTTGCAACTTTGTTTTTCTTTTTCAGAATTGTTTTGAACATTCTACACCCTTATCTTTTTTTGTTTTTGGTATCAGGATTTGAACTCAGGATCTTGCACTTGCCAGGCAGGTGTTTGTGCCACTGATGTATATCCCTGAGCTCCTTTTATTTTCTGTCTTTTTTGTTTGATTTTTTGAGGCACCCACCTTGTAGTTCAGACTGGCCTTGAACTCACTGTGTAGCACAGGCTGGCCTTGAACTTGCAGCAATCCTCCTGCCTCTGCTTCTGAAGTGCTAGGGTTACAGGCATGCATCTGTATCAATTTTATAATTAGTTTAATTGATTTTATTGCTCTTGTATCCTGAAACCTCCATAGAGGCATATATTAGTTCTAATAGCTTGTTTGTAGTTGGAAGCTTCTTTAAGATACATGTTGAACAGAAATGTCAAATGCAGATATCTTTCATTGTTTCTTGATCTTTGGGGTGATAAAATTTAATTTTTAAAAGTATGCTAGCTGTAGATTTTTTGTAGATGTCACTTACCAAATTGAGAAAGTTTCTCTGCATTGATAGTTTTGTGATTTTTTTTTTAAAAAGCATGAATTGGATTTTGTTAAATACTTTTTTGGCATCTTTAAAAATAATAGTATACTTTTTCCTTTTTAGTCTTACTATGGTGAATTATACTGATTCAATTTTTGATGCTGAATCAGTCTTGAACTCCTAGGATACACTTCATTTTGTTGTGATATATTACTGTTTCTGTATTGCTTGATTTGTTTTGATATTTGTGTTCCTGTTCATTAAATATAAGCTTCAGTTTTCCCTTTTATCTTTGTGTGGTTTTGATGTTAGCATAATTCTGACATGAAATGAAATGGAATGAGTGCCCTCTTCTATATTTTCTAAAGAATATTGGGACATTTATTTATTAACTACAAATTCTGTTTATTTTTTCTAATATTTTTTATTTAACAAAAATATGTGTATATATATATATATATATATATATATATATATATATATGGGGGAGATTAAGATGAAAGAGGACATAACAACACAGATCAGAACAGAACTATTTAAGCAACATAGTGTTTCACCACAGAATGACTATTCGGATTGTCCATATCTTCTTAAGTGAGATTCATTAGTTTGTGTTTTTCAAGAGTTTTATCTATCTTAGCTGTGTTTTCAAGTATATGAGCATTAATTTGTTCATTATATTCTCTCATTATTCTCTTCCTTTATTAGAACTTACACTGATGCCCCTTCTTTCATTTATGGTACTGTAATTTATGTCTTTGCTTTGTTCCAGATCAGTCTGGCTGAACTCCTGTTAGTCATTTATATTTGCTAAGAACTAGACATAGGTTTCATTGTTTTCTGCTTTTCTTCTGTTTTCATTAATTTATCCCCTTATCTTTATTATTTCCTTCTTTCTGATTGCTTTGGGTTTAACTTTAACACTTCTTAAGTCTAGGTTTTTTAAGGAAGAAATTTAAATTTACTGATAGGAGACCTTTCTCATTTTCTAATATAAGCATTTAATGATACAAATTTTCATCTAAGCACTGCTTTAGGTGCACCCCCGAAAACTGGCTATGTTGTGTTTTCATTTTGATTCATAATATTATTTAATTTCTTTTTGGAATTTCTTTTGTGACCCAAGAATTGTAAGTTTTTGTTTGGCTTCCAATATT